GAAGCTTCCCCCAGGTCCAATAAAGCCAATACTAGATGTCTCCAAGACAGACCTGCTGCTGGCCAAGGCCAAGGCCATCGACGACAGTGGCAGCCTCTGGGATGACAGATTTAAGAAGGGCTAAAAAAACCCCTGTGCACCTGCAGTGTCAGAGAGGAGTGAGAATATGTGAGAGAAACAGCCCTCCAGACACCAAGGTCAGTGAAGAAGGTCAGCCTGAAAGGGGCTGTGGCCCTGTGGGAAGACCGTGTTGGAACAGGTTTGCTGGCAGGACTGGTGACCTCGTAGGGGACCCACACTGTTCCTGAAGGACTGAACCCATGGAAGGCATCCATGCTGGGGCAGTTCATCAAGAACTGTACCCCATGGGAAGGAGTCACATTGGAGAAGTTCATGGATGACTGTCTGCTGCGGGAGAGACCCCACACTGGAATAGGAAGAGTGAGCAGTCATCCCCAAGAGGAAGAAGGAGCAGCAGAAACGACACGTAATGAACTACCCCAATTTACTATCTCCCTGCACTGCTGGCAGGGAGGAAGTAAAGAAAATGAAGAGTTAAGCCTGGGAAGAAGGAAGAGGTGGGGCAAAGGTGTTTTAAGATTTGGTTTTATTTTCTCATTAACCTACTCCAACTGGATTGGTAACAAATTAAATTCAGTTTTCCCCAAGTCGAGTCTGTTTTGCCCCTGATAGTAACTGGTGAGTGACCCATGGGCCTTTTGTTATATTTTCTTTTCCCTGTCCTGCTGAGGAGGGGAGTGACAAAGCAGCTTTGGTGGGCAACTGGTGCTCAGCCAGGGTCAACCCATTACAAGGATCTTCAGCAAACACAGGAAACTAGTATCTTTCACTACTCTGTATTTTGGAGATTGCTACATAAACTTTGCCTAACAGATTTCAATTTAGGATCCTAAATAGTGGCTTCCCTGGTTATTGAGAAGAGACACTATTAATCAGGTCAGTTCCAGTGCTTTGCCAGCTTTCACAAGTCTAGCACATGCTGAACAGTGTCGTCAGCAAGACATCATACATCTTTTTAATTAAAAAAATTGATTCTGAGCTTACACTGTCAAAAAATTAAAATGCTGCATATTATTTCTTATGTAAAAATTAATCTAAGAAGCTATTTAATGAAGAGGTCATATTTTGAGACACGGGTTGTGGCTGCTTCACCATCCACTGAATGTGCATAGGTGTGCTCTGGTTCAGAAAGAGCAGTTAGTTAATCAGTATGGCATGCAGTGCTACACTTGCTACTGTTCAAGTAGTAATGATAGCAAGCAAGAAAAGAACAGAAGAGAAATATGTTGGGTTTTGTAGTTGAGGAAATAAAGGTCAAACAAATTTTTAAGCAGCAGCTTTTTTAAAATTTTTTAAGCTGTCATTCTGTGTTCCTGACAATTTAGCACCTGGAATAGTCATGCCTGAAGTTCAGGAAGTTTTCTTTCCTACTATGACACGATTTCAAGTGTCACAGAAACATTATAAAGCATACTGTATTTTGAAGAATCGTACTGCATTATGCTGCAGTAAATTTAGATTCACTGCAGACTCACTCTCTCTAGTATCTTTCTTTTTCCATCAAATACCCTTCCCCCTCAAACACGCACACATTTATTTTTGCCCACACCACTCACCTTCTGTCCCTGTACAATGAGATAATGCAGCCCCCCTCCCCTAACTTTTGGTTAGGACTATGCTCTGCACTGAAGCCTGGTGTCTGTCACCCCAGGTCACTTCTAGTGGAACAGCCAGGGAAAAACATCGAAATTGACACTTTCCCTCCAAGCTTCCCAGCCTGAATACCTTTCCTAAATCTGGTTTGACCTCTTCTTGTCAGGAACTGCTGCCTGACTCCCCAGGCAACCACTTGTCCTGCTAATCTAATTTTTAATCAGTCCTTGAATTTTGTCTTAGCGTCTTGAACTCATAAAGCAAAATGACTCTGCTATGCTTCATGATTCTTTTGAGCTTGCATGATGGCCACGGATCCAGCACCAGGCTCCAATTCCTTGTGTGTCTGGGGTTTGCAAAGTGCAGTAGAATATTACAGTGAGCAGAGCAGAGTAGTTGATATTAGGTTTATGATGAAGAAGCTAATAATTCCTTAAGTCAGAGGACTTTAGACAAACTATTTCATTGAGTCTAGCACAGATCTAGCCATCATTCTATGATTCTGTAAGTTTTGCTTTGCGTCAAAACATTGATGCTAATTGAAGATATGCCACAGCTTACCTGGATTCTACAATACCTAGACCTACTGTTAAAATGTTAAGCATAAGGGTTACAGTAGTCTGTCGATCTGTAGAGTTTAAAATGCATCACTGAGGGCCAAAAATTATCTGCAAACACTCTGCACGCCAGCCTACGGAGCAGGGCAACCAGTTCAAGATGAACCAGACGCTACTTCATTTCAGGGAGCACATGACAGCACATGGAGCATCCCTCCATAACTACATTACTGCATCTGAATTAACCACAAGAACCCCCAGTCTGACACAGAGAAGGTTATGCCATCAGCATGTTTATAGCAGAGAAATTGTTTGCTTCTTTACCTTTATATTGCAGGTTTCATAAAAATGGATGTCCAATTTAATACCAAGATAGAGGAGAAACATAAAAGGAACACCATGTCTGTTTCTGAGATTGAAGATCATCCTGAAACAGCCTTCTAAACACAAACTTTCCACAATTATGGGACATTTCAAATTGGCTTCTTTTTGCAACTTCTTAACAAAAACCCATCATATTTTTAAAAAATACTTAAGAATTGCTTAATCAAAGAGGAAATGTGTGGGAATAGCTATCTGTTAGTTAGAGATATTCTTGAGGCAGGGTACTCCAAGTAGTTATTTGCCAAGCAAAATTACATTAATGTGAGACATGGCATCAACACAGAGCACCCATTCTACCATGCTTCCAGAGGCCACAGATGTGGACATTCAAACAAAAGGTAAGACATAGTTTCAGACCAATTCAAGCGGCTGAGGAAACTGAAACAGGCTGGTCCTCTGGCTTTTTCACTGACTTTGTGAATAACAGAGAGATGGCAAGTCAACCATCCTTCCAAGTTTTGTGAATAAAATTGAACTGCCTGGCTAACTTGTTTTCCTTTAAGTAAGTTTCAAGATGATTGAATCTATAGCTACAGTAGAAACTGCTGAAGCAGAAGTCTTTCCCAAGCTGATATAGGTGATTCAATATCATAAACCCCAGTCCTTTCTGTTTCTCCCTTCTGCCTCCATGATCTTTCTCTCCTTTTTTTGTCATTCCAAACCGAACAGCAGTCTTCTTTTTAAAACTCATATCTGTTAAATTCTTCCAATAAAAAGTTATTTCTACTTGGCAACAATTTCTAAAGAGTATTTTTTTTCTTCTTCTGATACTAATAAGATAGGACAGGGACCCGCAGGTCAGTATATACTAATGAAATGAATCGGTAGATATGACTGAAATGAGACCCAGTGTGACACAGCTGCTTCCAAAAAAACCCATCACTTGAACAAAACACACTGGGACAATCTAGTATCTCAATTTCCAGTGGTGTTACCATGGTTTCTGTAAAAAGACAGGAGAGCATTAAAAGTATAGTCTTTGTGATGATGAAAAAAAAAAGAATATTTGAAATAGGATAGTAAAACCATGGGTGACCTGTCAGAGACTGCTGTGACAGCTGCTCGTGACTACTTACATTTGCCTCTGAAACAATGTAAGTGGACAGAAGGTAAATCAATATATTCTAAATACACTTTCTAGCTATTGGGTTTCCCTTTCCTTCCTTTTAATTTTGCTGGCATATAAAAATTATTTGGACAAATATGAGAGTAGCACAGTTAATACAAACTATTTTGCTGTTCTTGATAACCCCTGTAATGACAGCCTGGCAGTCCAGGTCACACTGTATGTTTAGTTCAACAGAATGGCCTCAGCTCTGTTGTTTTAATCGCTGTTGAAACTCAGATTCAGCAAGATGTATGATATTAGTCATGGCTGACATACTACATTTATTTACTAAGATTCACACTGTCAGAGTTTGGAAGTAGGTTGGAAAGATCCTGAAGGTAAATGTGAATTCTAATTTCAGTTCCAAGCTTTATCCAAATATGCTTAACTCAATTCATCTATGTCATGAAAATCAATCAAATCATGGGCATACTGCAACACAATAAACTCAGTTTTCTAAATTAGACATGTCAGTTCTCATCAACCTAATGCAAATACTTATTTTAGATGTGGAAAGTAACAAGACTTTCCACTCAACATGTAAAAGCCAAGTAATTGATTTGAATACACATGTCCACATAGAGGGTATGAGGATATACCACGGCTGGTTGTACCTAACCTCAGCATTTGAAGACTCCCCATATATTTTGTATTGTTATTACAATACTTCACATGCAATTGAAAAATCATCTGATTTTGAAAAGCTGGTCTGTAAATAACAGCTCATAGCAGCTGAGCACATTTAGTGATTCACTGCTACTGAAAGGAGTCCTTTTTTCTACAATTTCCTCTTTCCATGTTCACCCATTTCCCTGAGCTCACTTCAAGGGATCCCACTCCCAGAGCTGATTAAACTTGCTGATGTCAGCAGAAAATTATGCCGTTTTCTTTTTTTCTGGATTAGTTCTGTGTTGGCTTATTGAGCTGAGCTCAGCACTTGAGCATGACATAAATGCAGCCTGAGAGAAGGAAAAGTCTTTTCCATTTGGAAAAGACTTGAAGAAAGAAACAAGGTAGAACTTCATTCTTTGATGATGGTAAGCTACCACACTTTCAGTGGGAACTGCACTCAAAGTGATTTTTGTATGGCTTCTGGAGCATATCCTTATAGCATAATTCTCTGTGAAATTATTGGGAATACCTAAAGAAGAAGAGCCTTATCGTACTAAATTAATTTTAGTTAAAAGACAAAAGCCAGTATGAATGAAAGAAGCATGACCGGGAGTCCTGCACCAAACAAGTAAGGAAGTATTGTGTAAGGTGACTTGACGACTTACCTTAAAGGAGATTTCATACTGCTCTCCTCCCCATATTTCTAATCCTGGATCATAGCCTCCCAGCTCCCAAAACCACTTCCGGTTAACGGCAAATAGACCTCCAGCCATTACAGGAGACCTGAAGGATGAATAAAACAATACAAACAATAATGGAGATGTCTGGACCATGTGTGTGTGTGCCCCTGTGTGTGTTTGTGTGAACTACAAAACTATGGAAGGCATAGACAAAGGGTACTGTAAACAAATGACATTTACCTCTTCACCCCAAAATGGACTTTACATGAGAAACAGTCAAAGTGCTAGACATGTAGATAGATATAATGCGTTTGCTATGTTTCCCATGCTCCCATTTATTCCATAAATAAATATGTGGAATTTACTTGGATTAACACAGGCTTTTCCACAGATAATATAGAAAACAAATTGGATATTTAAAGTTAGTGTTAGAGAATATTCAAGAAAAGTGCATGTAAATTTCTAAGCAGGAATTTTGTACTGGAAACTAAATGTTTTCTCTTTTCACTAATAAGACCATGTTTTTAATGCAGTAAATACATTGACAACTCTAAAGATTTAAATGTTGCTCACCGATTCCTTGAAGTTGTGGTGGAAGGGGGATACAAAGGGATCTACACTGAACAGGAAGGAGACAACAGGCTGAACAAAGTCCAACTCAAGTGTGCAATTCAATCAATGCAGGTCAACACTCGCCTTACGAGTTTCAGAGCAAGGAGCTAGAAGGAACACATTCCTGTTGATGGCAGGTCAGCAAAAGAAGAGACACACAATGCAAGAGGGACCTGGATAGCTTCCAGGCAGTGCTTCCTTATCAAACAAGCAACATGAAACTGGATCCTATGCCGTGTGCTTTGTCACACTGCAGCTCCTGAGGGAAAATTACCCCATTTAGGGGCATTTTTCTTCTGAATTACTAAAGGTGGTTTGTCTGGGGCTATGGAAGCAGATGGTACTATCCCTGAAGAACTGACTAGAAAATAAAAATTTCCCCCTTTGCCACCGATTCAGGATTTGGCAGTGAACTCAGGACTGGTAGGTATCACAGGAATCCATGCATAAGTTGGAATTTTATTAGAGAGGACATCAAGCTAATGGAACAAATTTCTGCCATATTTTTCTTGTCTTAACAATTTTTATATAGCTCTCTTTTATCCAAGCCAGTGGAAAAGATAAAATAGCAAGCAGACAGCTGAGTGGCCTCTGCCACCAGTAGGAAGCCAGTGAATCCTCACATGCATGAATGTCAGAAAAATGATTCATCCTCATTCATGGTAACGAAAAACGTTATGGATATTTTACCTCTCACTTCTATAAGATAGTTTTAAATATATATATATTTTAGATTGTATCTTATATTAGACTACCCATTCTCATGACTAGGGAGCTCTGTTTTTAAGAGATATTCTACTTTCCTTTAGAGATTATGTTTTTAAAAGCACATAGAAGCTTTTGAAACAAAGCTGAAATATTCTAATTGGCAAGGCTGTGCACTGTAACATACACCAAATGCTAATACTTTTTTATGTTTATTGACATTTCATATCTCAAATATTGACTGTTGTTGCCACATATGAATAAATGAAATGGAGATTTTATTAGAAACCTTCCCCTGGGGATTCTGCTTACTACAATATATTTTCCATTCATACTGAAGTAAATCTAATTACAACATGCCCTTTGTGACTTCAGGCTCTAAATATTCAAAACACAATGTCCTTTTTTAAAGATGAACTTGCGTGGAGAATGCTTATAAATAAATTGTTGCTGACAGAAGAAATGTAGCCCCAGAAATCACTGGGGAAATGCAGGTAACTCTCTTAGGTACAATATCTTTCCTGAGCATTTCTCTTGGCAATCCCTGCAGATGAACCAAATGGAAGATAAAACAAACCCAGAGACTTCAAATTGCAATATAATTGGCAGAATCTTACAAATGATACTTTATAACTAATCTGTAGATTTTCCAGTGCTAGCACCTAGTAAAGAACCCCCTTGTTATTTAGATGTGAACGTTCAGAACATTTATGACAATTAGCAAAACTACCAAAGGACTGGAACACCAGCAAACTCATAGCTCTTGCACTTAAAAAAAATAAAAAAAGAAGAAAGAACTTGCACGTAATGTTCCTCCATTTATTCTTATGCTACAACATGTTCTGACAGTTGTTTCGCAGGAAGAGCAATAGAGAGGACAAACAGGATGGCTTTTTGATTTTCACTGGAGTGCGATGACCAATAAGCTGTGTGAACCTGACCACTTGGCACAGGATATGTATTCCACTCCATGCCACAAGCAGCTGCTGCTGAACAGGCTTTAAATTGTCTCCAAAATATGTCCAGTCCTACAATCATGACTGATATGAAAAGTCCTTTTGTAGTCAACAGGATCACTCATACAGATAAGAACTGCACTGAGCCCAAAGAAGAAGAATTAATCTCTTGTTTAATGGCTTCCGTATAGAAATGTCAAGTACAAAGCTATGCTTGTAGAAGGAATTTTTCATGAGATGTCCTACTCAGACACTTAAACAATCAGACTTGAGCTCCTGTAGCATAATATTATGTGAGTAATTATAGTGGGAAGCTGTAAAATAACTCTCGTCAAAAACTTAAAAGGACAAAGACTCCCAAAACATCAGAAAGGCTGGAAGGCTCAGGTTGCTAAACTTATAAATGGTTACAAAAATCTTCAACATGAGAAGTTCTGCAAAGACTCACTGACTATACCTGAAAGAATAATATCGCAAATAAAAGCCAGCTGATCCAAAAGCGGCTCAGAAGGTCACAGATTGCTGGCTGAGATAGAGTTTGATTTAGTGGGAGTGCAAATAAAAACCCCAATAAAATTATGCTTTGCAATAAAAGACAGGCTGACGAAAAGGCAGGTAAATGCTTAATGTGAAAGACAGCTCACAAATTAAAAGAGTGCACTAAAAGAAGTGTAGCAGTAGCTTAAACTGTAGCCAGTGAAGAATTTTGTAACTTTTTGTAATTTACATGCAGAGGAAGAAAAAAGATAATCATACCTATGAATTTTCAAGGTAAGAGAATGACACATACTTAAAAGGAGTGTGAAGTGGTATATTGCAAACAAATGAGCTACATAGCAGGGTTTGGGAGTGATATATACAGTGGAGCTAAAGGAATCGAGAAAAGGAAAGAGGAGTTTTGACAGCATGCAGAAAGACACTTAGGAAATGAAAACAGGAAAGCACTTGTGCTAGATGACGGGTGCACTAGGTACGCTGATGTTGAGACTGGAAGATTTCCAGTGTATGATACATCTATTTAGTGTCATATAACAAATGTCTGTGTCACCTGTCATTCAGTGTAAAGAAAACATTTCATTGTGCATTGATTACTGTTGAACTGAGATGCTGCTGCATGCAGGGGTGCTTTGGAAAGCATAGGAGAGAAATCACCTGCCTGAAACAGGTGAAATTTGGTCATTATAACTGTATTCAGTGAATGCCATATTGCACTTATGCGTGTCTTTGTATAATCCAGACTCATTAAAGGCTCTGTGCTGAACTGCTGAAATGAAACGGATGAATGCCGGAAAGAAACATCCATCTCATACAGGATACGTTAGACAAACTGATCTTCCGAGCCAAACCAGCTGGCACACTGTACAAAATCTGGGGTAAATGTCAAATCAGGAGTCAGCACTGGGTCATGCTGTCCTTGAGGAGTCAGGGATGTGATAGGCGAGGAGGAAGGGGCTATGTTGCTGCTGGCACAGTGACAGTCCCTGGAATGACAGGTGACCTACTGAGTGCAGCTTTGAGCTGGGCTTGCGCACTTTTTATAGTGAATTTCAATGTCTTGTTAATCAAGGAGAGTGCCCCTCCACCCTAGTGATACCACATAAGGGCACCCCAGAAGAGTGAATAAATTCAAATACATTGTTTCAGTGGTTACTGCTCTCAGAGCTCTCTGCAGGGATTCCTGATACTGCACCAAAGCTTCTTAAAGCAAATAGCAGAAGCTGACACTAATGCTAGATAATAAAAGGTTCTAATAAAACTAAAATCTATAATCTATGTATATATAATGTGTGAGACAGACTTGGTCACCCACGTGAAGTGAATGCAGAAATAGAAGAAACTGAAATTGAGTTGCTCAAATGGCAAGGAAGTGATATAGATTAGTAAAATCATGCCAAAACCCATGAACTTAAAGGTTGCTTCAGCTAAAGATAAATTGAAGGACAGAATCTATACTGTGAATAGGAAAAAATGTTGATGTAGCTAGAATGGATACGGATCAGACTTACTGATTTTTTCAAGAAGTAAAATAAAAAGCAGAATCTTTTATATACTTCACTCTTGAACCAAATAGATTTAAAAAATATATTTCTAAATGTACTGACTTTGTTACATTTAATATATCTGCAAGGCACTGTTTTATCTTTTATCCATTCTAACAACATGAGTCATCTTCATCTTTATAAAATCATCAAAACTTAAAAAATAAAAGTTGTGACATTAGGCTATAGGATTTACTCTTCCTTTTTTCCCCATCAAGAGCAAGTGTCCAGTCTTCTGAACAATTTCATCTTTATTGAATTTGTGCCCCTGTTTGCACCAAATGATCACATAGGTTTTGCAAATCACTGCATTGTTACTTTCTTAGAGAGTCTAGAAACAGTATCTTAAAATATATGGCTGATCAACTGTGTAAGGAAAAGGTCTGTCTTAAAGTTGATTTGCTCCCCATAAAAACTGTCTCCACCCCAGTTTGTTCACTGTACATTCAAACCTGTCACCAGAGTACACTGTAAATTGCCAGCTTGTTTTTTTTTCCCCTCTGTTAATGTATGTAACACTGACGTCCCAACTATTTACAGTCAGGTACCCCAGCAATTTTTACAAAGCAAATAGAAGCTATTCTCACACAAATTCAAATATATAAAGCTGTATTTCATTGTGCAGACTCCTCCTATATATCCAGTTGGTTTTGGTAATCTACATTCTCTTATTAAAGTGTTGTATAATTTTATTGTCAGTCTTAAACAGTTGGGATATTCTTATGTTAATTCCCCGTTGCTGTATCTTTCTAAAGAGTTGATAGATTTAATACAGATGCATGCTGTCTCCG